GGGACCATGGACTTTTCTCATGAACAACACTCAGTAACTCATGTTTATGAGTCATTAAACGTATGACAATTGTGAATAATCCATCCACCAGACGAAAAGAAACAAAGGACTAGTATTCACATAGAATAGCTTGGTTAAATTATTCGATACAAGATATTTAGAGAAACACTTTCGTATTGTGATGTCGGTTTCTATCGTCGCCATTTCAATCTGGATAAATATAACACGAAGATCATTCTCTTAAAGATTGCTATCTCAGATAATGAGATGACAGGAATTTTCATTTTCACAATGTCAATTGTCTGGTAGTGTTCTTCAGTAGCAATTTTAACGTCAATAAAACAGCTCTCAAAACATATTCTCAGCCTCATTGTCAGACAGATTTACGAAATGACAAGGCTGAGGTAGTGACAATTGTAAAATGGTACTCCATTGAAGCTCAGAAATTTTATCTATCAGACAATAAGCTCTTCATTGGACGACTAAAGTATAATTCGTTGGCCTAAGAGCAAGAATAAGGAGGGTACACCGAGATACACCTTCATAGTTTAAAAAATTATTTTCCGGCAGATCACGCATCAACAGCAATTACACCTTGTTTTAATGTTCTGAATCAAATTATCAGATAACTGAGATGGTGTTGCATTCAAATGCCCTGGTATGGTTAGGGGTGGAGAGATTTCACCCTCCCTCTCGAAATGCTCTTACATGGTCACGGATATGCAGCTACTGTCAAAAAAGTTCTACTCACTAACTTCTAGCTACAGGAGTGTTCCTTACAAGGTTTAGAGGACAAAAAAAAATGAATGTTCGGTTGTTTAACCGAGTTGGTGAATACATAAAATCCACCTAATAGAGTAGAAAAACCCTGATCCTAAACCAATGGTTCACATGGGCTCCAGGATCCTGAGGGAACAAATAGCATATGAACTAATTTTTGGTCACCGGATACCATGGGACTGCATCTCCTAATGTTATTCCACTGCCTTGTCGACTAGGCCTTTAGGTGAAAGGCACACGGAGTGGTCCATAAGAAAACTACCCGCTTCGGTCTGGGCAACCGGATAGTATTCCAGCCCACACACAAACCAAATGACGATTACTACTGGAAATACTATTCTTACTTCAATTAGCATTCAGACAAATCATATTCAAATTCATATGAAAACATTCGCTCTTATTTCTTTTACACTATGTCGCTGATCTACTCGCCTTTATTCTCATTTTGCGTATTTTATTTTTCAACTTAAACAGCAGCCCGCCTATGGTGGAAACTCTCTCTTATCTAAACGATCTCAAGTCACTGACTGGTCGAAAGTTGAATGCTACCACCGAATACGAATACTGAAACAATCATTCTGAAACTACGTATACCATTCAAACTGGCCTCCTTTAACGTTCGCATACCTATGCAAATCCGACAACAGATAGGGTTGGCTACTTTCTTAGAAAATCTCAACATCGATGTCTGTTGTCTATTCGAGACTCATATTCAAGACTCTAATGAAGTACTACAAGTTCGCCCTCCATCTGTCGCTTCGGAGAACTTGCTTCATGTGTGTTCATCCGGGGAGTGTGGGATCTTTGTCTGGTTTTTCTGGAGTTGTTGTTTCACTCAGCACTAGAGCTGAGGCAGCGCTAATCGATTGAATCCTCATCAATATTCCGTTTTGTGCTGTTAGATTAGAAAGTTCTATCAAAGTGCGAAGAAGTCGGTATGAGAAACAATGTCTTTTCGTCATCTCCACCAATGCTCCGACAGATTGCAGCCCGAATTCGATCAAGGATGAGTTTTCCCACCACTTAACTGTTCTTCCACAGGAAGTGAGTTTGACGGATATTGTAGTACTAGCCAGAGACTTGAATGCACAGGTTGAGTGTCTAAGCACACAGAAGAATTGTTTAGGTGGCCGATGAGAACTTGTTGGTTGCAGGTCAGATAACGATGACCGACTACTGCAACTTTAAGCAGACTATAACCTGAGGATGATATTGTCTTACTGTGTGATGATACCCAAACCATGCAATCCTCACTTAATCAGTTAGAAATCAGTGTCTGTTGGTGTGGTATTTGCTTTGCATCTTCGAAGTGCAAAATATTTTTACAAGACTGATAAGCCCCTGAACCTGCGCTCACCCCGGATAATGAGCAGATGGAAGTAATCAAGAAGTTCGTGTATCTGGTGGGTAGCTGCGTAAGTGATGGTGGTAGAGTGAACGATGAGATCGATTCACATATAGTGAAAGTCAGAGCGACTTATGTCAATCTGAACCATCCATGGCGCCTTCGTGATGTTAGTCTGACTGTAAAAGATGGGATCTACAGCGCGTCGGTGAGAGCAGTTTTGCTCTATGTTTGTGAGACCTGGCCTCTCCGAGTTGAGGATGTTAGACGACTCTGTGTTTGATCATTATTGTGTTCGAAGAATTGCTGTCATCATGCCAACATCATGTTAGTAATACAGAGGTTCAGCACCGTATGTTCAGACACAGTGACGACATTTCAATTAGTATCACCATCTTGAAACATCGACTTAGATGGATTGGACATGTCCTACGAATGTCTCCCCAGAGAATTCCACGTTGTGCTTTATTTGTCGATGTTGGGATAGGTTGGAAAAAGCGGAGAGGTGGTCAGTGTATGACATGGTGTTGTGGCATGAAAGAGAGCTGTATAGGACTGGTTTCTGTTGGTCTGTCAATACTCCGTGTTTGAGATGTACTCGCTTCGGCGGTACATATACTAAAATTGGAACGATACAGAGAAGATTAGCATGACCCCTGCGCAAGGATGACACTCAAAATCGTAAAGCGTTCCATATTTTTTCCTGCTTCAGTCTGGGCACCTGGGCAGTATCACAGCTCTCACACAAATGAAATGAGATTTGTGAGGCGCATATTTATCTGGTGCTTCCTTGTACCAATATTTATGTGTTTATATAAATAGTTTATTTAGTTTAGTTAAACACATGAATATTAGTACAAGGAAACACCAGATAAATATGCGCCTCACAAATCTCATTTGATTTGTGTGAGAGCTGTGATACTGCCCAAGTGCCCAAACTGGAGCAGGTTTAAATAAATAAATAAACCCTGTTTGAGATCCTAGAGATGGTGGGATCTAGTGGCTAGAGACGTTGTCAGACGCGGCTCAGAATAGAAGAGAGTGGTGATCCTGCTGCAACTTTCTTCATAAAAAATGAACGTAACTTGTTTGACTGAAAGAATTCTTTCTGGTCATATTTTTGTTAACTGAACTGCCTCTTTTATTATTTCACTCTCATACACTAATTTATGTTCGTTGTTGTTTTCCTTTTTCTTATGAGCACTTTAAATTATCTAACTCTTCACAGCCTCATTGCTATCGTGTGGCACATATGTATTTGGTGCCTCTTTGTACCAATATTTGTTTTCAAATAAAGAAAAAGCAGTTTGCTGAAGATATTTTGTAGCCAAGCACAATTAATGGTAGACAAATTTATGGAAACAATTAACATATTATCTTATGAATAATATGATATGAATATGATATGAATAATATGAACTAATATGATGCAGCAAGTGAGCTTGATGCACTGTTCAGTTTCAGTTAGAAGATTGTTTCAGGAAAGTTAGTATGACCTCACTGAACTAAATATTTCTGAATAATTTGAAACATAATAAATGGTCACAACTAAGTTTTTTCTATAATCATCCATTCAGTAATAATCTGCTATATAATAAAATGATGATTTATTTGTAATAACTCAGTGAATAAATTATTACATTTCTAATGTTTCACAACTCAGGGAAAGTTGCTTCTTCGGAGAATGAATAAATAACTGCATTGAAATCGAAACAAATTCAAATATCATGGAACAAAACTTCTTCAGAAAACGTTTACTCTAGCCAAATTGAATGCGGTTTACAACAATACTCTTCTAATGAAAACCACCAATAATGACAGACTGCCTGATTTTGCCACGCATGTGTATAGAAATTCAATTGCTTCTGTGGGGCTAGTTAAATAGAATATACAATTTAGCAGATCCGCTTTCCTTTGCAAAAGACCACTGTATCTCCCTTGTCCATTGTGGTGATTATTGTTACATTTTTTAAAACAAGTTAGACCTTTTAATTCTTATTTTGAAACGTTTCATGGAAAATGTTTTTTTGTCAACATGTGAGTACCTTTACGACATGCTAGATGAGACTTTTTCAAGTATACCGAGTAGCGTTTCTATGATTTTGAGAATCTTTAGACTACCGAGCGGTTCTCGAGGTAGTTCCTGAAATAGAGTGATTTTAGGGTTACTTGGAATTGTTTGAAAGTCTATAAATAACTCAAAGGTCAGTCGAACTAATTTTTATTGTCGATTTAGCTTTTGTTTTCTTTCATATCTTCAGGTTTGTCGGGACTTCGACGAATTCTACTTATAGCGTTTCCTTTCATTAAAAAGGTTACAGATAGAAACCTGCAATTCTTCTAGGATTAGATGTTTTATTAGATCACCTAGGTTATTGATGTGATCAAGTATTTTTCTGGTAAGTACGCACATTTGTGAATATGTTCCTGCAAAAATATTCATTATGTGTTATGGAACTTGAATATACTACATAATAACCGATAAATAACTGGCACTTCTTGTAATTAACATTCAGAGATCGTGCACAGTATATCATCATGTGGAAATGAACAGCCGCATTTACTTCCATAAAGTCGATGCTGAATTATCAAATTAAGGCGAATTGGAAAAAAAGTAAGTTCATTTGGTTTTACATGAAATCATAGAAAAATCTTTCTATAGGCAACTACCATTAGTTTATATGACTAGTTCTTAGTTTTAAAAAACAGCAGTCATAAATCCAGGAAATATAATTCACACATGGTAGTGCGACTTTGTAAGAATGAACTTGACTACCAATTTGAAGTACTACTACTACTACATTATTCAACTAGTATCTATGTAGATATATATACTTATCAATTGAATATGACAGTACTAATTCATTATTTCAAGCCCCTTTCTAGTGTGATAATCTAAACTACATCTTTAGAGTTTCGATCTAATTAATTAATTACCCACAAAAAAATCTTCAGAGAGAGAATTGTTCGTCCTTCAACAAAAAAGTTAGGAGATATAAAGAAAGACTATTGACAAAATAATTTTAACCTAGCCAGGAAATTCTACCCCTACCATTTCCATTAAGAAAAAAGATCCTTATATTCACATTGTTAGACTGGGACTGAAGCTTAATCTAAGTGTATTTTTAGGTTGATAACTTAATCCGGTATTCGGGCTTGGGAGTCGAGCTTTATTTGCTGTAACATTTGTTCACGTAGGTCTTACCAACTGAACTCAACCAATTTTGAGAATAAGCACGATCCACACTTTACGAATTTGGAAACTAGACTGAACCTTCTGATCCGGCTGCTGTAAGTATGTCAACTTCGAAAGAGCAGAAACGATAGATGATCGGATACTCATCCCGTTTCCGGCACTATGAGAGGCGAAGACAAAAAGTTTATGCAATGATCGTGAGCAGTGATGAGTAATGAAAGCAGGAAACAGAAAAGAAAGTGAAAATAACTGACGCTGAACAGGGAGAATCGACGAATTAACTGAACAGGTGTTCAGGAATGGTAGTCCGTTTTAAGTAACCGCGTCGATGGAAAGCTTGTCTAAAAGCGAGTATACCGAGCAGCAATTCACCCTATTTTAAGTTATGGACTTACGCTACTTATACCCAATCATCGCTATCTTAAATGGCTAAGCTAAAACATGGCAACTGTTCATAAAGTAACCGACTTTTTGTAGATTTAAATTTTTTAGTTCGGGCTGCAAGACAATCGAAATTTTCTGACTGGATCGAAGTATTGATGAGATCAAGGATCTATATCGTATGAGATGAGCTGCAACAATTTTTTGAATTAGAAAATACTGTTTATGTTGATGCCAGCTGGAATAGAATGGAAAGAGTACCATGGAGATTGTGTCAATTTATATGATTAATGACTAATGGTGTGAATGAACTGAAAGGCTGATAAAATAATAAAAATTGACATTCGAATACCTTATTTGATGGTGATAATGTGCTCACCTTTAGATTTGGTTTCATCAGTGTACAATTGACAATTCTATTGCCCTAAATTTAAGTTGTCGTAAATTGAATTAGTGAAAATATCGTACACCACTTCAAGCTCTTTTAGTTCGTTATTCGTACATTTAAAAATGATTTCATCAAACTTTTGATTGGAGAGGTAAAGAGATAAACGTATGTTTGTTATTACAAGTATGTGTGTACAACTTTGTTTATCTGAATTGCATATATCGTAGCAGAATAATTACAGTGGATCAAATAAGAAACTGGTTAGATATGTAACCATATTGTGTCTTCTGTGTTACAGAGCTCAAAGAACAAAATAATGCCAAAACAAGTAAATAGGTGTAAAATAACTGCGTGATCATTGTGATAGGTTATTTTTTAAACATTGTGGTTCTATAAAATACGAAGTACATTATGTATAGGCAAAATCAGTTAATTTTAAAACAATATAAATTAGAATGTGGGAACACTTTTCATAAATAAGAAATGCAAAAAAGTGAGAGATTAACTCTTAAGTTTCAATTATATATATGCTTATGTATGTGAGTAGGTTCATGTTTATAAAACATGTATCAACGATATTTATTATTTGATATTACAGATAAACAGATATCGTCACCTGAGAAGGAACTACACGAAGTATTTGAACGTATAGTAGTTAGGAGAAGACATAGTTCTTGATAAAATAAATTGAGCGTCGATAAGATTTATTTATCTAGTGTTAAAGATCAGATTAAGTTTTAATCAGTAGAATTACCAGTAGATATAAGCAATTGTACCGAAACTTATAACGGCAACTACAAGGATGCTGCTAATTACAGCACCAGCTGTACTCTTTACATAGCCGCTTTCTGCATAAAATCGGCGAAGATATTGAAGCACTTGAGTTGGAAGCCATCTTTTGCGTGTCATATCTGTTTCACGCATTCGCATACGCATGACTTCGATTTGTGCACGCATTCTGGCTTGCCGAGCTAGACGAGCAGTATGGCGTTCATGTAAATCTATCGAAGCAGCTAAATATTCTTTGGTATATGAATCGGAATTATCTTCGACTTCAGCAGTGTCATTTAACAAAGATACGCTCGATCCTATAGTATGTGAAATATTATTATCTGGATAGAAATTAGGTGTGACTGAATGTGATGTAGGAAGCGTAGACAAAATAGAATTCTTTTTACTACTATCGTAACTTGAAAGAAATGGTTCTATTTGACTGGTTGGTAAAGCATCATTAATCCTAAAATGACAATTAATAATAACGGCATTTATTAATAATTGTTGATGAATAATAAAAACAAGTAACGTAAAAAACAACTGACAATAAATGAATTAAAAATACAATCATGATTTTCATGAACAGAAGTTCAACTTATTTAAAATAAATATTCACTTTCATTTCAACATATTTATTTTTATACTTCATTCGACAAAAAAAATGCGATTATGGATTTGAGCCACCACACCAAGACAATATCAAATCTGAAAATTACGATGGATCAGGCAGTAGATTTTAAGTGGCATGCAACTAAATTCTATCTATATTTAAAAATGTAAAAGACTAACATGGACTAAGACGTTGCTTTGAATTTGCATAAACTGAATCTTACTGAAAGTGGAGAAGCTACAGCAAGAAAACCTCTTACAGTTCGGTTCAACTTAATGGTGAAAATGTTAAGAATACATTAAAGTCACTCAGCTACAACGTAGGACTAGGCACATATATACATCAGTCCGAGTTGCCATATCTCATTAGCACAACAAGATGAACACCGAATTCATTGTAGTTACTTAAATAGTAGCAAAAAACATTCATATAGGGATATGGTACAGGGAGAAAGAATTAGTTTGTAAAGAGAAATGTATGAAGTAATTTTAATCTCACGGTTTAAAGGAAGACAAAGTGTTTATTTAAAGAACAACTAGAGGAGTTAGTCAACCATGAACGTGATGTCGTCCCCCCGAGGTAGCTTGGAGTGATTTAAGAGTCGTCTACTGAACTGACAGATGCTTGGAAACTCATCCAGTCTGGCTCCAAACATGACGAGTGGTGGAGGCAGCTTAAACATAGGTCAATAAGAAGCTTACACAATGAATGTGAACAGCGGTGCGTAGCGAAAGCAGAAAAGATGGAAAGGGCGGCTCCAAAAGGTAACAGTAGACAACTGTTAAGGTTTACCAAAAAAACAAGTACTAAAAATCCGGCCATCAGTCAGATTATTTTGGAGAAAACAAGGACGATTATTTACTCTCAATCCAGGAGATTGGACTGATGTGCAGAACACTTTAGTGGACAGATCAACTAACTTTCAGTCACACTTCAGTTATCTACTATTTCCAAGTAACCTAAGCGACAAATTTATACCACACCTTCCAACTTGCTGTATTCCTCATGATTTTTTCACTTCACTAATTTATATTTTCATGAATCGCATCTTTGACGCCTAATTTTTTCCATTACCACTCAATCTGTTGTTACCCCGATTATTCTGGGATTTGGCTTGACAATTTCATCCTCCTGTGCTCATGGGATATGGCAAACTGAACTACTGTACATACGTACCAAGTTCTACTTTGTGGCTGACAAAATAATACAAGTTTGTGTGGCAATGGTTTCGAACTGACCTGTGTCGAAATCTACATTATGAGTGATGAGTGAGAATTATGGTTTGACACTTTGGCCATTACACTGATATGTGGCATTTGTATCAGCCCTACTCTCAGACGTTAATGACGAAATCTCAGCCAGTACAAAAACGACTCAATCCATGGTGAGGTTAGCGTGCAACTGTTTATTACATTCGCCTCAATGGTTGTTAGGTGTTGATAATAAAAGTGAAGAACATACATCTATTGCTAGTATTCGACCACAAGTGTCCTTCACTTTGATTTAAATTATCAATAAGTACCATTAAATTTACTATTTTTATTAATATCTTTCTGCTGTCTATCTGGGTTGTATAGAAATTTAACCAATGTACCTTGTTCCTGCTTACTATTAAGTCATCTATAACTTATATTTAATGTACACTTTGAAAAGCAGTCAGTAACTAATAATCATGTTTTCCACACATCCATCAAGCAAAAAGACGCGGTCAGTGCCTTGGTTTATGTGCGTTTGAATGATTTTAATGACAGGTGAATATGATTCGGCTTTCTGTTAATAAACATGTTGCTGTCGAAATCAGGTAGACGACCGGCTTAGTTCAAAAATAAATAGCTGTAACTTTTTACAGGAGTAACAGCTATGTAATTCAGTGGTGAAATTTATTTTAGAGGCATAGCCAAATTAATAAAACAGATTTTAGTGACTATGATAGGATATTTCAAGAGAATTAAAGCAGAAATACTCTTGTAATGTGAATGAAAGGATGCAAAATATTTTCAAATACAGTGCAATTTTATTGCGCCCTATGTATAATCGTGTTATTGCAATATACTAACCTGTCCCATGAATTTGCATAAATATTTGATGTATTGGGTAATTCGGATAGTCCATTTTCTGATTTTTCGAAGGCGTGATATACTTGACTTCCTGTGACCATATTAATTTCTGAGTAATCTGGCAAGTGATTAGTTTCGACTGATGATCGGTCACTTTGTAACTTGAGTGGATCTGAATCAACTCCAGACGTGGTGAGGGACTTTAAACTACGTAACTGAGAAGAGGTGATGTTATTTTGGGTATTAAGTCTAGAACCAAACTTATAATTTCTAAACCTGACACCGATATTATCCAATGGATTAAACAGTTCTGTCTCGATATCACCAACAGCGACGTCTTCTTCTGAATCAAAGTCATCTAGGGCAAGGTCTTCAACTTCGCCTTGTTCACTCATATCGTCTAAGTCGTTTTCGCTTGAAGGTTCCGACACATTGTCTTCTTCCTCAATATCCGGTTCAAACTGGCAATTGTAATGAAAACAGGGTAGGGCATAAACTGAAAACCTGCTTATAAAACAAAGTAAGATGAGATCTTGCAATAATGAGAATTCTTGAGATATTCGAAATAATTTACTCCACAGTAAGGGTCAGCAGAAGGGAGCTTCAGAAAAGATTACAATTACTTTTAAGAACACAAGCACATTCGAAGCTTGAATACGATAAACTAATTATCATTCTCATGACAAAGATGGAAAATTTATTTTTCGTGCAAATGCGATTTCTCCAGTTTGCTTGTGACTAATCTGTTTATATATGGAAATAAAAAATTAATATGTGGATTAATCCGTACAACACTCATGCCAATTATACATTTATCGATGTATCGTTGGTTTTTATGTACTAGGTTACTGTAGTAACAAAATTACTTTAATATTAGATGATACCATTCAAGTTGTAGTATGCTTGTGTAGGTTGACTTTGATAAAATCAGATATCCGTTAAAGGTTCCGACTGTGGGTTTATCGGCCATTCAGTCAGCCATTTATCCTGTGCATTCCATTCACTTCCATTACAAGAAATGAGTAAGAAAATGATTCATAAAAGCGTTTTAGACTCCAAACGCTATTGATGTTTATGTTTACCAGTAGTTGACATCATAACGACAAAATTAGACGGGTTTTTAATACTGTAGTTCTCTATGTCATCATATTAGACAAGAACAAAATTGATAATCATATTTTATTACCAGTAACACTTGACAATTATTAAAAAATTGTAGTAAAATTAATAAACTAAAATATGAAAACAATTTTTAATAAGTGAATACCATTATATGAACATTTTACTTTGCACCGTTTCTTACTCAGCCAAACAGACTACAGAAATAACGGTAGTGAGAGTGGATATATTTCTACGGATATCATTTTAATTGATGTTGTTTGTTAGCGTTGTGAAGGAACGGTAACAAAAATGTATCAATTAAGTTGACTTTTATAACGTTTTATACATATTTCTAAGAGGTTATTAATTTACCTTTAGGAATACAATTTAAATCTGATTATATTTTCTATTAAATACTGGTAACCCCAGAAATGTAAACATCAGCTCAAGAATGATTAGGTGTAGAGCGTCTAAAAGAACTTTTTATGGACTGTTACGTAGTGGATACAAATGATGAACAATTTAAACGTTTCTTATGGAATTTTTACAAGCATTTGATTTGCGAACAGACAAAAATTGGCATGAATGAAAACATCCGGGATACGTTTAGCAACTACCTGGTATTTATTTATTTATTAGAACACAAATATTGGTACAAAGAGGCACCAAATACATATGTGCCACACGATAGCAATGAGGCTGTGAAGAGTTAGATAATTTAAAGTGCTCATAAGAAAAAGGAAAACAACAACGAACATAAATTAGTGTATGAGAGTGAAATAATAAAAGAGGCAGTTCAGTTAACAAAAATATGACCAGAAAGAATTCTTTCAGTCAAACAAGTTACGTTCATTTTTTATGAAGAAAGTTGCAGCAGGATCACCACTCTCTTCTATTCTGAGCCGCGTCTGACAACGTCTCTAGCCACTAGATCCCACCATCTCTAGGATCTCAAACAGGGTTTATTTATTTATTTAAACCTGCTCCAGTTTGGGCACTTGGGCAGTATCACAGCTCTCACACAAATCAAATGAGATTTGTGAGGCGCATATTTATCTGGTGTTTCCTTGTACTAATATTCATGTGTTTAACTAAACTAAATAAACTATTTATATAAACACATAAATATTGGTACAAGGAAGCACCAGATAAATATGCGCCTCACAAATCTCATTTCATTTGTGTGAGAGCTGTGATACTGCCCAGGTGCCCAGACTGAAGCAGGAAAAAATATGGAACGCTTTACGATTTTGAGTGTCATCCTTGCGCAGGGGTCATGCTAATCTTCTCTGTATCGTTCCAATTTTAGTATATGTACCGCCGAAGCGAGTACATCTCAAACACGGAGTATTGACAGACCAACAGAAACCAGTCCTATACAGCTCTCTTTCATGCCACAACACCATGTCATACACTGACCACCTCTCCGCTTTTTCCAACCTATCCCAACATCGACAAATAAAGCACAACGTGGAATTCTCTGGGGAGACATTCGTAGGACATGTCCAATCCATCTAAGTCGATGTTTCAAGATGGTGATACTAATTGAAATGTCGTCACTGTGTCTGAACATACGGTGCTGAACCTCTGTATTACTAACATGATGTTGGCATGATGACAGCAATTCTTCGAACACAATAATGATCAAACACAGAGTCGTCTAACATCCTCAACTCGGAGAGGCCAGGTCTCACAAACATAGAGCAAAACTGCTCTCACCGACGCGCTGTAGATCCCATCTTTTACAGTCAGACTAACATCACGAAGGCGCCATGGATGGTTCAGATTGACATAAGTCGCTCTGACTTTCACTATATGTGAATCGATCTCATCGTTCACTCTACCACCATCACTTACGCAGCTACCCACCAGATACACGAACTTCTTGATTACTTCCATCTGCTCATTATCCGGGGTGAGCGCAGGTTCAGGGGCTTATCAGTCTTGTAAAAATATTTTGCACTTCGAAGATGCAAAGCAAATACCACACCAACAGACACTGATTTCTAACTGATTAAGTGAGGATTGCATGGTTTGGGTATCATCACACAGTAAGACAATATCATCCTCAGGTTATAGTCTGCTTAAAGTTGCAGTAGTCGGTCATCGTTATCTGACCTGCAACCAACAAGTTCTCATCGGCCACCTAAACAATTCTTCTGTGTGCTTAGACACTCAACCTGTGCATTCAAGTCTCTGGCTAGTACTACAATATCCGTCAAACTCACTTCCTGTGGAAGAACAGTTAAGTGGTGGGAAAACTCATCCTTGATCGAATTCGGGCTGCAATCTGTCGGAGCATTGGTGGAGATGACGAAAAGACATTGTTTCTCATACCGACTTCTTCGCACTTTGATAGAACTTTCTAATCTAACAGCACAAAACGGAATATTGATGAGGATTCAATCGATTAGCGCTGCCTCAGCTCTAGTGCTGAGTGAAACAACAACTCCAGAAAAACCAGACAAAGATCCCACACTCCCCGGATGAACACACATGAAGCAAGTTCTCCGAAGCGACAGATGGAGGGCGAACTTGTAGTACTTCATTAGAGTCTTGAATATGAGTCTCGAATAGACAACAGACATCGATGTTGAGATTTTCTAAGAAAGTAGCCAACCCTATCTGTTGTCGGATTTGCATAGGTATGCGAACGTTAAAGGAGGCCAGTTTGAATGGTATACGTAGTTTCAGAATGATTGTTTCAGTATTCGTATTCGGTGGTAGCATTCAACTTTCGACCAGTCAGTGACTTGAGATCGTTTAGATAAGAGAGAGTTTCCACCATAGGCGGGCTGCTGTTTAAGTTGAAAAATAAAATACGCAAAATGAGAATAAAGGCGAGTAGATCAGCGACATAGTGTAAAAGAAATAAGAGCGAATGTTTTCATATGAATTTGAATATGATTTGTCTGAATGCTAATTGAAGTAAGAATAGTATTTCCAGTAGTAATCGTCATTTGGTTTGTGTGTGGGCTGGAATACTATCCGGTTGCCCAGACCGAAGCGGGTAGTTTTCTTATGGACCACTCCGTGTGCCTTTCACCTAAAGGCCTAGTCGACAAGGCAGTGGAATAACATTAGGAGATGCAGTCCCATGGTAGCCGGTGACCAACAATGAGTTCATACGCTATTTGTTCCCTCAGGATCTAGGAGCCCATTTTTGTTTATCACTTTAAAATCCTTTAAATATATTGGCTAGTAAGTGTCCATGGGAATGGTAGGGATTCGTTTGAATTCTTAGGAATAAATATCATGGTAGATAAATAAAGTGGATTCAATAAGTATGCAGGGTTTACCTTGACAAATGGTCTTTGGTCAATTGATATACAAAGCAAAGTATCCGCAGCTTTAATGACTGCTCGATAACAAAATCGTAATTGATCAGCAGTTTGGATAATACCCATACGACATTTTCTTAACTCAAGAAATAAGTTTTTGATATCAACACCAGAAATAGAATTCGCTTGTTCAATCTAAAATTTAAAAAATGAGAGAACATACAAGACCCATATATGAGGGAATGCCAAAATATAAAAGTGGATCTCCAGTAACTAAAAGAATGATAGATAGAAAGGTTAGAGAACGAGTCGATTGAAGAAACAATTGTGAAGCAGGGTATACTCTATGCACTCTGTGGAGAATAGTACATTTAGATATCTCAATTGACTAAGATTCTATAAATATTTTGAGGATTACATAGTTCACCACTAGATACTCCTTTTATATGAAATACAAGAGGCCAATCTAGATCCTCATCACGCATTCCTACATAGTGAAAAGAGTGATTTGATCACAAGACAGAATAACTACCTACCTAAACATGATAAAATACACTGGTTAACTTAGAAACAATAAATTCTGGTTAGATGTAGATGAGGATAATTGTTGAAGTAAACACTGTAAAAACTCATTCACAAAGTTGCTTAGTATGCTTGATGATTGAGATTGGTTCTACTAAACAGATTGGTTCTACAATCTGTTTAGTAGGACAACCATACAATCCAAACAAATGTACGTAAAGATGACCATGTAGTGGTGAGCTAATTGTTTAACCGATACTGCTGTAAGTTATAATTACTAGGCTGTGGTTAGAAATACGAAATTATTTGGATGAAGTTAACAATGAAAGCGTGTACGTCGAATAAAGCATTATATATATATATATATATATATATATATATATATATATATATATATATATATATAATTCTTCACAAGTTGTTTAAGTTTGTCTATACTTAAAGAACAGTTTTCTGTTTTTATTTTCATTAAAAACACGAAAAACCATCAGAATATGTAAAGGCAGGAATATAATCAGTATTGAAAATCACCAACTCAACTTACCAAGATTAATGCTAAATCTATCAAAACAAATGTTCCTGATCGTCCTATACCAGCACTACAATGTATAACTGGTGGATAAGATGGATCATTCAATGCACCTGAAGCTCTAACAGACCAAAGAAAGTTCAGTATTGCGCTAGGAGAATTAGGTATCCCAAAATCGGGCCAATTAGTATACTGCATGTGTAAGACATTGTGAACTTTATTGGTCTGAATAAAATGAAACTTAAAATAATTAGTAAATATGAATAAATACAAATTTTTATGCTCTGATGGGTCTGATCTTCATTCTTGATCAGGTTGAAATGGCAATGTTAAATTTGGAGTAGACCGCAACATTAAACAAATAAAATTTAATTATTAAACTATAAAGCACACGATAGGTGTCAAAAGTTGATAATGACCTATAAAATAACGTGAACAGCCAGCTGCCAACAAACGTGGGATCATAAGGCAAAATAGATTGTTGGAAGTATCCTTCATAGTATTAGGAAAAACAAAATATGTACATTCATTTAGAGTTAATATTTTAGTCACACTTGAAATATTCAAACACCTCTACATTTTAATAGTATGTGTAAATGCTATTCATATTCAAGTTAGAATCCATGGTTTTGATCTATTCACCTGATACAGATATGCGTACTTGGCTTCGATCCACACTTTCAGAGTAAGGGATAGTGATACTACTCAGTTGTCAAAACCGAAGTTGCGCGCCGTGGTAATCGGTGTTCAGGCATACGTAAGACATGACCCAACTAACTCGGTTGATGAAAATTCACAACCTCATCAACTAATTTACCATCATTCACTGATAACCTGCGACTCTCTATTACTTACCCGGTGATTCTAGCAGGTGCGAGCAGTATTTCTAAGACATCTGTGGTTAAATACTAGTAACCTACGAATATCCTCTTATCAGCCATGTTTCACTGCCATAAAGTAGGACGGAACAAACTGCTGCGCATTATACTTGTCTCTCAATTGATAGATGGATATCTCGCTTACGCAATAAATGACGCAAGTTGGTGAAAGCTAGTCGATTCTTCTGCATCCGTGCTGAGATTTGGTCACACATCAGACCACAGGGGCTGATGAGACTCCCAAGACAAGTCACGCGGTCGACAAGCTCAAATACTTCACTCCCTATCATTAGTTCAAGTGCCGATGCAACCCAATCCTGAAGTAACAGTTTACATTTCGAGGGGGAGAATCGCATCCCGAACATGCCTGCATTGTTGTTTATAGTGGTCAGAAGATTGCATTTTGTCAGCGTCTCCACCAAATAGAAATATGTCATCGGCGTATTTTAAGTCAACAAGTGAATCTCCTGGTAGAAGTTTAACTCCTCTAAATTTGGATGAGGAAAGTGTTATCTCTAAAAGCACTTCTACGACGAAGTTAAACAAGAATGGTGAGAGTGGACAGCCCTGACGAACACCACTTGAGGTAATCAATTCTGATGACATTTCGCCATAAGCTCTAACTCGACCAGTTTTGGAAGCGTTCTTCTGGAGGTACCTGAAAAAAAAGGATTAGAAGCGGTTTTAGTAACCTGAGAACGTGACCGCAGTTCTCAAGAAACAACTGCTTGAAGTCGGTTATACACGACCTCTTTGTGATTTTTGTGTTAGCTCCGTACTTGTTGGTTCCTTATCGTCGGAGATGGAAATCCGTGGGATAAGGCGAGGTGTACATTTTTAGGGTCGACCTTTTCTAACCCCACCCCTCTTTGTGGGAAGGCAGCATCACTGTTATGCTGGTTGTCTGAAGGAAACACCTTACTGCTGTCACACCTCTTTACGGTCAGCAGTACGACTTCGCCTTCGGACCTTGGGTTTGCTGCCTCTTCAACCGACCTGCCTGGCATGGTTGGACCTTGAGGAGCGATTCTTCCAGCCAGTATAGCTCGATTGGTTCAGCACGATAGGCAAGCCCGACCACCAAGTTATGGGAGCAGCAACGGTCGGGCATCGTTGGACACCGACTACCATGGGACTGTATGTCCTAACGTGGTTCCACTGCCTTGTGGATTAGATTTTTAGGTGAAAGGCACAGGGAATGGTCCATATGAAAACCACCTGCTTCAGTTTGGGTACCTGAGCAGTATTCCAGTCCTCACACAAATCAAATGACAAAGTATAGCGTATATATATTTGGTGCCTCCTTGTACCAATGTCCATGTATTTAAATAAATAAAATGATGAACCATAAATAGTAACATTTTCCGATTTCGTGACTCTCAACATCAACTCCATAATGGACACAATTAAACCATATTTCTTCCAGCCAACGTTAGTGAATCTCAATAGGGGACTCCTATTCCTTCTGGATTGCATGTCCGAACTCCGATTATGGTCTGGTAAGAGCATGTATTTTCTTTTGTCGCACTAAAAGTAGAGAATTTAGTAGAAATGGACATAAACTATACTTTTTAGATGAAATGATGAAGATTGCATCCAGGCAAAACTATCTAAACATTTGATCGTAAATAAAATATCCAACATCTAAGAGCCGTTATGACAACTATTTGGGTTCACTCACAACCTTTTTGTGAAATTTTAGCCCCTTATTTTCCAGATCATATATCTACATCAGTATCCTATGTGGTAGGGTCTTTCGTCATTTTTGGAGCCTATCTATCCTGAACCCTCCTATCGTAATAGGACAACGTCACTTTGTGCTGGTTATCTAAAAGAAACACCGCCCGGCACAGCCAACATGACGACTTTCTTGTGACCTTAGGTTTCTCGTTTATAACATTACCGCTCTCGGACCTTCTTATTTTACTTGTTGAAACCTGACGAAACGAATTTGGCAGCCAGTGAAGTTCGATTGGTTTATCACAATAGGTCAACCGATTCACTGTCAAGTTAGCAGCTGTTTTTTGAGTATTTTGAGATTAAGTAATAATAACGAGAAGAATTCAACTAGATTCTGTATTTTGACTTATTTGTTAGTGTAAGCGAATTCCAAAACTTATTGGTTGGTTAGTCAACATTTTTGCCCCCGTGTTTATGGCATGTGTTAAACACAAAGCGGACGAATATTTTCATTTTTCCTGTTTGATAACACGTTCATGTTTTAATAATTGTCTGATTGCTTTTCCTAACCAATATTCTCTTTTAACAAGTAACCCGTAAGTTTTTTAAAAAAAAAATAATTAAAATCATGTGTTAACCTGCGGCCTGACTCATAAGATACTAATTGACGTCTCAAGTATAATCAACTTCGTTAAGGCATTAAATATTGAGGGTCTTTTTAAGAACACAACCTATCTTACAGAGAAGATATCCTACTTACTGCTCTGTAAATTCTTAATCACTAGGTCAATTTATTACGATTAGTTACTCAGAAGGCAATACTGAACTCTGAGGGTGGAAGCAGATGCTCAGGTCACCTTGGTTTTGTGAGCGGTCTCACCATCAAGTATATACCATGCAAGCTATGAATTCATGTGGTGATGGGCGACGAAAGCAAAAGAGATGGAAAGGGCAGAGGCTGTAGGTAATACAAGACAGCTCTCCAGACTAATAAAAGAAACCGGAATTAAGAAGTCAATTGTAAGCGAGACAATCTCGAAAAAAGACAAAACTCTTATCTGCTCTCAGCCCACACGTTTAGAACGATGGACGGAACACTTTAGAGAACAGTTTAGCTGGCCTTCAGCTACTCTACAGTTACCCACCATTCCCAAACAGTCTGAATCGAACATTGGAGTAGGTCCCCGACTCTAGTTGAAGTTCAAAAGGCTATAGATAATCTGAAACGAGGAAGAGCGGCTGGTCCAGATGTCTTCAAATATGGTGGTCCAATTTTGGCGATTAGGTTGACTAATATTTTAGCTAAAATCTGGACGTAATCCCATCTGACTGGTCACAATCACTGATGTCCCAATATATAAGGGGTCAAAATCATCCTGTGATAACCATAGAGGGATTAGTTTTAATAATATAGTATCTAAAATATTAGCCTCAAAAATTATCGAGCGCATAAATGAGACTCGTGAACTCCAAACACGAGAAAGTCAAGCTGGCTTCAGACCTGGTCGTGGCTGCATTGACCACATATTCACTATTCCTCAGATCTTAGAACACAGGCATTCTTATCGGCGTCCGACAATGATAGTTTTTCTCGAATTAAAAGCGGCATTTGACTCTGTAGACCGAGAGGTTCTGTGGCAGTGTCATTTAAAGGTGTACCTCATAAGTACATAAACCTTACGAAGGCTCTTTACTCGAGCACTACCAGTCGAGTCAGAGCTTATGGCGAACCATCATCTGATTTAACAACCTCAAGTGGTGTCCGGTAACCTTGTCCAGTATCTCCATTTTTGTTTAACTTTATCATAGACCTACTGCTGGAAATATCGCTCTCATCGACTGAATTTTCGGGCACTGATCTCGTACCAGGAGGTCCACTTATCGACTACCCCACCGTTGCTGCTACCTTGACGTTGGTCACTTTCAAATCCTTCCTACACCTAATAACTCTCTTATCTCCACGACTAACCCTTCCCACGTCCTTTTATCACCTCGCACCGCTAGGGCAAACGATTCAAGTACACGGAACGTTATTCCTGGTCTCCTGAAACCACGCTCTAAACTACATATAGGAACTTTTAATGTTTGAACATTGTGTCAAATAGGACAACAGGCTTCCTTAGCTAGGACTCTAGAATCTTACACCATCGATGTGTGTTGCGTCACCGAAACGCGCATACAAGATCCGAGTAGTGTCATTCATTTGACTTCACCTAATCAAAATAAAGAACTATCTCGATACACGCTTCGCGTATCTGGAAGCCCTGATGCTGCTTCCCGTGGCCTCGCTGGAGTAGGTATAGCATTAAGTCCTAGGGCAGAACTAGCTCTTTTAGACTGGATCCCAGTAGACAGTCGTCTATGCACTGTCCGACTAAACGGATCAGTAAGGACTCGGAAAGATAGGGAAACTCGTCGTCGCTTCTTCGTCGTCTCTGCCTACTCTCCCACTGACTGCAGCTCAAACGATATAAAAGATGAGTTTTACAGGGAACTTTCTGACCTCCGAAAAGCTAGGCGTTCTGATGTAGTACTAGTAGTAGTGGCTGGTGACTTTAATGCTCAAGTAGGTAAACTAAGTGAAAGGTAAAGACACCTGAGTGGATCTTATGGTGTCGTGGCTAAAAGAACAGATAATGGCGACCGTCTGTTGCAGCTGTGCTCAGATAACCGCCTATTTCTTGCAAATACTAACTTTAAGCATAAGGAAAAACATATTTTGTCATGGCGACCCCCGAATTCGTCCCAACGTTGGATCCAATTAGATCACATCGCTATCAGCCACCGATGGAGGGGCTCGACAGAAGACTGTCGCTCATTCTGGAGCACAAGTTTATATTCAGATCATGCTCTAATGCGAGCATGTATGTCTGCGTCTTACTGGACGTAGGAAAGACACGGCAGGGAAATCTCTTAGGGTTCTACTTAATGATAAGCAAGCTAAGAATATATTTCAGGAACAACTGGAAAAACAGAGACAGACATGTAAGTTGTGCCCACCCCGAAGCAGCGTGGAATGACATCCAAAAAGCTGTAGAAACAGCAGTGATATCTGCTAGTACGGTAAACTATAAGGTTAAGGAGAAACGCTGGATCTCAGCAGCATCTACTTCACTGATATATGCTTCAAAACCCATCCCATCTGGCTCTGAACATAACGACGAGCGCAGTCAGCTTAAACGCAGGCTAATAAGCCTACGCAATGACCGCGAAGTGGTGGGTAGCGAAAGCAAGAGAGATGGAAAAGGCAGCGGCAATAGGTAACAGCAGACAGCTATTCAGACTTATTAAAGAAACCGGTATTAGGAACCCAACTGACAGTGAAACTATCTCGGAAAAAGATGGACATATTATTCATTCAAAATCCAGGAGATTGGATCGATGGGCAGAACACTTTAGGGATCAGTTCAACTGGCCTTCAGCTACACTTCGGTTTCCCACAATCTCCAGTCGACCTGAATGGCAAGTTAATATAAATCCTTCAACTCTTTACGAAGTTGAAAAAGCTATAAGAAATCTAAAGCGAGGGAGAGTCGCAGGCCCTGACAGGTTTACCCCTGAGATTTTTAAGGATGGCGGTCCAGTACTAGCAGTGACATTGGCTGATGTCTTAGGTAGAATCTGGGAACTGGACGTAACTCCATCTGACTGGTCTCAATCACTGATTGTGCCAGTCTATAAGAAAGGACAAAAGTCCTCTTGTGACAATCACGGAGGAATCAGTTTGACTAATATAGTGTCTAAAATATTAGCTTCAATAATACTTAGGCGCTTAACCAAAGCTCGTGAAGAGCAGACTAGAGAAAAACAGGCTGGTTTCCGACCTGGACGTGGCTGTATAGACCAGATATTCACTCTACGTCAGGTCCTAGAACATAGACATACATTCAGACGTCCCACAATAGAAGTATTTCTTGAGCTTAAGGCGGCATTTGACTCCGTTGATCGTGAGGTTCTATGGTAGTATTTGACACTGAAAGGAGTACCAAAGAAGTATATTAACCTTAGCCGAGTGAGAGCTTATGGCGAAATGTCATCAGAATTGATTACCTCAAGTGGTGTTCGTCAGGACTGTCCACTCTCACCATTCTTGTTTAACTTCGTCGTAGAAGTGCTTTTAGAGATAACACTTTCCTCATCCAAATTTAGAGGAGTTAAACTTCTACCAGGAGATTCACTTGTTGACTTAAAATACGCCGATGACATATTTCTATTTGGTGGAGACGCTGACAAAATGCAATCTTCTGACCACTATAAACAACAATGCAGGTATGTTCGGGATGCGATTCTCCCCCTCGAAATGTAAACTGTTACTTCAGGATTGGGTTGCATCGGCACTTGAACTAATGATAGGGAGTGAAGTATTTGAGCTTGTCGACCGCGTGACTTGTCTTGGGAGTCTCATCAGCCCCTGTGGTCTGATGTGTGACCAAATCTCAGCACGGATGCAGAAGAATCGACTAGCTTTCACCAACTTGCGTCATTTATTGCGTAAGCGAGATATCCATCTATCAATTGAGAGACAAGTATAATGCGCAGCAGTTTGTTCCGTCCTACTTTATGGCAGTGAAACATGGCTGATAAGAGGATATTCGTAGGTTACTAGTATTTAACCACAGATGTATTCGTTAGGCGTGCCTAAGTTACTAAAGCCGGTGTTTCAAGATGGTGACGTTGAGTTAACATCATTTGCCGCAGACACAAGTTGCCAAAATTCAGCATTACGAACATGGTGTTGCCACTGAATGTCAGAAATCCTTTGGAGATAACGGCTATCGAACACAGAGTCATTGAAGATCTCCAACTTAGAAAGACACGTTTACTAAGCACAGAGTATAACTGCTTTCATTGATTTGCTGTAACCCTACCTTCTACAGCCAGAATAACATTATGAAGACGTTAAAGATAATTCGGATTAGCATAATTCGCTTTTACTTTCATTATACGTAGACTGATACCATTAGTCATACCACCACCAGTACAAACATAACTCAGAATACATAAACTTTGACATCTGAAATCAAAGAAATATTTCCATAAATACTCACAGCTATGACTACAGACATGGTTTTTATGTGGAACATCCTTTCAGTCTAACCCCAACTCTTAACCCTAATCAATAAACCTAGCGTCTCTGGTGCACTATTCAATAACTCATGAGTCACTAAACATTTGCTCATTTTAATTCTTCCACCTTGTACTACACTTCTTCCTAAAACTAAAAATCCTTCTGATTGACTGAGTCTTTTATGTAGTCGATATTGATTACTTCTACCAGAAAGATGAACTGATACAAAATACATATGTGAAGACTATGGCAAAACGCTTTACCTTAATGTTTGTTATGGTGAATTTCCGACTAATAAATGTTTTTGTATTTGTCTCGCACTCCAACTCGACACTTAGATTAACGTCTTCTAATTTTAGCACAGAAGGACCACCATCATAAGGAAAATAAGGATGACACCTAAGAGAGCCTTTTTCAACAAGGCGATTGAGCATAATAATGGCGGGGCACTGTCTCTCCCAAACCATGAGCCAGAAATGATTGACAGTTTGCTGCATTGGACCCTGGGTGAGTATATATTTTCTGGACGGCACCTCCGGAATGAAGACAAAACTTGCATTAATATAGTCACCATCACGCGCGCTACATAGGAAAACCCTGGTAGAGTCAACTAAGTAAATATTTAGGCTGCTGATTGACTTACATGGACTAACATCCCGGTAGCGATTCTTCCATCGGTTTTTGACATCCCTAGCGGCGTCAACTGAAGAATTCTGGTTTAGAACTGTAGACTTATTTTTTAATTGCTAGAACAATCAATATAGGGCTAGGAATTCATACTTCATATATAACATTCCAGGTTTTCTCGTTATCAAATTGATGCATTTCGTCCCGAACATTACGCAAAACGACGTCCCCCCGTGCTGTCTCGGTTTCCATCATTATGTCAGCAACCAGCTAACGCAAAACTTTGTTACATGTAACTGACAAAATTGAAAGACACACAGACAAATGAAATGTCCAATGAGTATCTGATATCAAATTGGTTAAAATAGTTGAAGATAGAATAGAAGAAGCGTTCGATTCTACCAACGTCTCCAGTCACGAACTTAATAAAACATTAAACGAACTAAAGAGAAATACTGGTGAGTCGTAATGAAATACAGTCATAAGTCCTCAAGAACCTATCAATTTTCCTCCTGAATGACTCCTGAAAAGTCGCTTAGCCCTCTCCAGCGGTCAGAAGATCCAAGAATTCGTGCACTTTTGAAGAGTAGAGGTTCGCTGAAAGTAAATTCTGTCATATGCCCCCATTTCTGGGTTCTGCTGAGAGACGCCTACACTATGACACACAAATGACTAAAGGATTTCTACACGTTTTATATTTTATTGTTTTTAGGATTGTTTTTACCTGAATTTTTCGGTCCTTCTTTGGCATTTAGAGAAGCTCCAACTTGTGTCTGGGTCAAACCCAAACTGAGTCTACGTAATTTAAACAAGTGTGCAAATTCATATATTTCCGCGAGATCATCATTAAGTGAAATTCTATCTTCCTTCTCTTGTATCATAGTTTTCAATCTTTGTGATTTTGATGAAGTGCGTAAAGACGGATTATCTGTTTGATCATTTGAAGCAGTCTTTGAATTGACTAAGTCTTGGTTTGAATTTGATAGCAGGGATTCACATTCACTATCTGAATCGTATGCTACTAATTGGTTGTTAATAAGTAAGCTGTTCTTTATTTGTGATGAAATAGTTTTATGTTGGTTGGAAATTTGTTCACATTTATATTGATCCTGTGAAGTCAAAGTGCTACCAACTACGAAAGATAAAAGCCATTTAAATAAGGAGAAAGTATGATCTTGAATTTTGTCTGATCAATTTATCTAGGCAAAAAGTCAGCATACAAATTCTACTTTCAAAAATATGATTCTGTTTTTGACATGAATTGCGAAGCATAAGAAAGGCAATTCATAACCCTCTATATGTCATTAGATATATTAAAGATTCACTGAACTTGTCTCCTCATACCAGTAATAAGATTTTGTAAATTTCGTCTCTAATCATTTGAAATATTTGCCGTAAAATACTTTTGTAAATCAATTTACTTTCTGCTTTATAAATATTATTAACCCAAATATGCTAAAGTTGAGAAACTTATTCCAATAACTTATATTCTTTTGGTGAATATCACGACAATAAGTTAAAAGCACTCTGTTGGGGGAATCTTCAACGAACTATGCATCGCTGGTGACATTATTGTATAAACTATAGAGTCACCGAAGTTGTTCCATGATCAAGATAGTTCAACTTGATTCGGATTTAAACCGACAGTTATTCCTCACTGACTTTCAAAGACCAGTAATGGACAACAGTGCAAATCTAATATCCAAACTTTAAATTATATCGAAAATATAGATGATCTCAAACTATCCACCAGAGTGGCAGTTCATGTTTAAACACATTAACACCAATGTTATTAACTTCAGTATTGAATGACACTGAGTAAAATTCTCTGGTGAAAAAAGTATTATCTTTGTGATTAGTATTGGCAAGCATCAAATGTTTGTACAGAACTCCCTGCTCGTTAGTCTCAGATATTTAACAATGATCAGTATGAAATGTAATCATATCTTATTATTCCATCAATTTCAGATCGTCATGGAGGAACAACAGATTTTTTTATTCTAAGAATAATAACTGAAACATTAAAACGCCAGCGACATACCAAGAGATTATGATAAAAGACTGTAATCCGAATTTTTTCTTAACTTTATTTACCTGTTTATAACTATGGTCTATTTATTAATTAGCTTACTAACTCCCATTTACAGTAGCTATATGTAATATTGTTTCCATCATAGAAATTTGTGACAGGCTTCAAATGGAAAAAGTTACTATTTAATAAAAACGATAAGGTCTACTTTACCAATGAAGGAATATAAAGCATCTGAACTAAACACTTAATTTGAAAGTATTTAATTTTAAAATCACGAAACCGGCATTTTAAACAAAAGCGTAATTACAATTCCTGTTCTTGTAAAATATGTTAATATCATTCACTCAACGGAACAGAGTTCCAAAAACAATCAATATCAGTTAACTAAGATTTATTATTATCAGAAGGGGTTTTTGTGGAGATTTAGTATCTTCATAGTTGAAAGCGTGAGTCAATTGAAGCTAGACCATCATGGAAAACCTGGAAGCACTGGACGGCCGTTTCGTCCACTGAGCCGGCATCCGAAGGTGTTTATATCTAACTCCAATCAATCTACATAGTTGAGCAACCGTTCACCAATTGTCTTCAGTGAGTTCCTATCTCACAAACATAAACACCATCGGATGCCGGCTCAGTGGTCTGTAGGTTAAGTGCTGTGGGGCGAGACTGGTAGATCCTGGGTTCGAATCTCGCGGGGCGAGGTCGTGGATGCGCACTGCTGAGGAGTTCCACAATAGGACGAAACGGCCGTTCAGTGCTTCCAGGTTTTCCCTGGTGGTCTAGCTTCAATTGACTAACGCTTTTAACTAAGATTTATCATTCTTTAAACATTAAGTGTTTGCTAATCATTCAAACAAGAAAAAATATTGATTTAATTGTTCAATAATTGAACATTCATACAACTAGACAGTTATCATCTGCTAAAACGAATAAGTATGTGTGGATATTCAAATATGCGTGAGTGCATAATTTGACTTCACCGCTAATTTATCCATCTGCCTACGAAATAGCCATACTGACTTATAAACTTCCAAGTTCATATTCTTTTTAATTTTACTATTATACAATCAGATATCAAATCTTTGTGTAATATTTTAAATATATGTTATCGATGAAAAGAGCATACATTTCACAATTAATTGCACAACTTAGAAATGGTCATTTGTTCAGACACTTCGTCAGTAATCAGAGATCTTTACTAACTTTACATGATTCGAAAAGCAATAGCATCAACCGTAAATTTGGTAAGAAAAGTATTCCCTTATCAAGCTGTTTTAAATCTGAATTACTTTATCAGTTCTTTGCATCAAAATATAACTACTCTAACTACAGTCTAGGATGTCACATCATTTCACTGATGTTAATGAACCATTTAACATGTTTTTATTTCCATTATTAGTCGGATTGATTTGGAATTCATAGATAGTTTGAAGATGATTGTATTTCTTAGGGGTAAACATTTAAGCTGAATTATCCATTTCAAAAAAGATTTAGTAGTCCATAAGAAAGTAAATATCACTCCACCCATCCACCATGAGTGATATTATAGACCGTCCTCTGTTCATTCTATTTGTAAAAACCATTTAAAAAACAGGATCATGGGGGTACATTTCAGTTATATTGTTATTATGTAAAGGTGAATGTTTCCTCACATTTTCTTTTCCAATACAATTCTACTTATTGCAAGAGATAAAAGCAAAACTGTCATTGCAAAAAGAACTACATAAACTTATCACGTCATGAAAGCGATTGTAGTGGTACGCCTATACGTCAGTGGGTTAAAAATGTTTGAAATTGTCACAGTCATCTGTTAAGTTCATCATATTCCCGTTTTATAACATGGTTTGTATCGAACAATGTAAAACAAACACTGATTTGAAGTGTTAAGCCAAATAAAAAATTGTGGATTAATCAAAAAGGCACTATATTTATCATAATGAACAACGTAGTACCTCATTAAAATAAACAACAAAATAATCTAGACATCTTACTTTGATCTGTTAATAAATCATCCCTTGTATTTTCTCGAAAGTGTGTATTCGGTAAATCATTATTGTTATTACAGGCAGTTTCCTTATTTGAGTTACTCGCTGCCACAAACACTTTGCATTTATTATTATAAATCTGAATTTGTTTTTGAAGTTCTTCAACTGAATCTATACTATTGTGTAAATTATTCTGTTGGACTAAAATATAAAAGTAGCGTAACCAATTCTCATAAAACGTTTTATATGATAATGATTTATTGAATTGGTCATATTCTTCAGTTTGAATTAATTTCGGATCTAAGTTTAGAAATGGCTCAGCTAATGAGTTCAGCGATGGACAGTAATTTGATGTGACTGGAAAGGAAGGTGTTCTATGTTTGATTGTCTTTGATGAAAATATTGTATTCCCAGCAGTTAATGCTAACGGTTGCAAGCAAGACCCAAATGAATGTTCTTCAGTAATATCGTTGTCACTCATGTATTTTAGTACATGTATATTTTAGGATCTAAATTAATATCTAAACAAATTAAAGTTAATCATTTGCGACCTTATTAATATTGAAATAAAAGTATTGAATAGTTATTAACTCTACTAATTATACACATTACAATTTAGTTCTTCATAAATTGATTAGACTTGAAAAGTAAAATTACAAAAACCACAGTTGCAACGTAAAGATGAAGTAACTAGCTATGCAACATTTGTGGCAACTTAGACCTTACTTGAAGTTACGATCGCTACACAAACAGACACCAAGTAGGTCAGACTAAATCAGTGTAGGTAAAAGCGACGATTATATTGAGTAGACGATCCTTATTTTTTCGTTTTAGAATAAAAAAAATAGACCATTGATTTTGTAAATCAACCTTAACAAACAGAAACTAACAAACTTTACGGATAGTCACGATTGGAACAATTCAACCGTTTAAGGCAAAATGGTCTTTGACATAGGTTAACTAAAATTATTTTACCCGATTAAGAAAATTATTCTCAAAAGTAAGAAGCGCTTAAACATTACATCGGGATTTTTACCATATTATAACTCCATGTAAGTTAATCAATCCTTGAAAACTACCGATCTTATAAGTTCCATGATCTTGTGATGTATTTCAAATAAAGTTTTGCATTTGCAAAAGATTTTGTTTCACTGTAGTAGATGTTTAAGATTGTAATTGATCATTTTTGTTCGAATGAGTAAATATTGAGTGGAGACCTTGATGATGCGTTTCATAATTAAAAATTCTTAGTCCACTTAAACAGTACATAGCAGTTGGATCCTGGACGCGCAGTTCGTCTCATTCCAAGTCTTTGAAAGATGTTTGTTGATTACATACAGCTGATAAAGTGAAAAGATTGACGACAACGACCAAACAAGATATTGAATTAATAAGTCATACAGCAAGCATATGAAAATACAAATATGAGGAACGAAGTCATAACAGTACAAAATGTAAAAGAACACGTAACTTTTTTCACAGTTGAAATTACGAGTCGATCTAAGCTAGACCACCAGTGAAAACCTGGAAACACTGGACGGTAGTTTTTTCCTAGTACGGGGCTCCTCAGAAGTGCGTACCCACGATGCCACATGCGGGACTAGAACCTGGAACCTTTAGCTAATGAGGATATCTGTCTGTTCATACTTTGAGGTAAATACCATTCATAAATCCATTGTACTTTTCTTATCTTGAAGCCATATTGTTCAAGCTTACACTCAAATATGGTTAGTTCGTATTACATGGGTTGTAACGAACCCCATGGGGATACTAGTATTGTTCATGAACGTAGTATTCGATATCAACAAAGGTACCATTTGTATTTAGTGATAACTTACATATATCTAACAAGCTGGGGATTTCGACCGTCAAGATAAATGATTCAAAGACTCAATCAGAACTGTAGAGTAAAGTATAACGTGATCTAATAACAAGTTATCTATTCTTAATTAATTGTTTTCAATGTAAAAATCATTAGCATATTCTCTGTTCTTGAACTGATTTAATATTTTTCAGTGCTACTTATTTTCTCACTTCAGTCAACTTATGATATAACACAATCATCATCCAATATCATAGATGGTAACTATCCTATTTTAAGTATGAGACGATCATTTCCTTGAGTGTATCATGGAAATTTGTTGAAAACGGATCTTGACCGGTACAAATGTAAGTGTAAACAAGTTAGAATAATTGTGCATTAACAAATACTTGGGTTTCGGTATGAGTATAAAATCACTTTGGAATTCTAAATTAATAAAAATCACTTGCTACTACTAATTAAATATACTTTACACTATAATCATAATTTTTAATAAAGACCTTACAAAATACTGATAGTAAAAAGATTTTTACTCACTTAAAATTATAATTTATGTTTCAGAAAGTATCAGTTGTATGAGGTTATTAACTCTTCCAGCTCCCTTTATTTACAGACTAATTAACTAAATTATGATAGGCAGTAAAATTACAGTATATCAAGCACATAGTAGGCAGGGTAACAGACAAGTGCCTTCCCTTCAATCGAATATTTGAATTATTATTTTTACCATTAACATTATTGTCAGTAATATTCCTACAAAATCAATTAGTATTTACATCATGAGGTTTAATATAATTATGGTTTTCCAAATATTCACTATGCGTTTGTTAGGGCATTCGAATGTCCCCTCTCTAATTCACTTCATTTGTCCCCCACGAATAATTTATTCTAATATATATGTCCTATATTCTTATAAGATTGGCTGGTTATTCGTCCAGCCATCAAAAGTTCAACTACACTTTGTTTGTGTGCAATGTACAAGGGCACAAACCCGTTCCTGTCTTATAATCTGAACTGTGAAAAAAAATGCATGTGTGTGTGCAACCTGTGTTTAGAAATATACATTTATAAAAGTAAATTTACTTATAGGTAGAAAAGCCAAAAATCTACTTATATTCCAGACATTACCAACGTAAACACAGAGATCCAATTACTGTCTACAAACGTTTTCGTTTCCGCCTCAAATAAAATGACCGATGAAATACTTTAAAAGAAAGCTTGTAAAATTTTTACTGAAAACCATCATTAAAATAAAGTTTAGAAAAAAGGCTTGATAACAAGTTCTATTCTACAACTAATTTACTTGGAAAATTATCAGAAACGTTGTATCACCAGGCAACTATTTTGCAGTAGTTCAAAATTGTCGAGCGTTAAATTGGTGAACCGCTTTAGAATACATCATATGACATTCAGATCTTGTAGTAAGATCATCCTTAATGGGCGATATTTTAAAAGTTTGTTCAAACCACAGTAATAATAATAATAATAATAATCCATAATAATAAAGTGAAAAATTCTGACATATATATTCAACTACAACCATTCATGGTCTAATATAGGACAGAAGAGGAGAATTTAAAGCTCTATCCTTGAATAGTTGGCTGAGACTAGCCACCAGAATATCACAGGAGTTAGCTCCTAAGATTATCTATCACATTCCATCCAGTCTTTATTAGGCAAAAACAAACCTTAAGTGGCTGAATGAGCTAAAGTAAGCCATGAGCCCAGTTAAATGAATATCTAATGCAGAAATGATAGGATGACTGACTAATTCGCTTTAGTTAGTCATATGAGCATGAGAATCGGTCTATATACTATAAAAATCAGTGAACAGATAGTGAGGCTGTTCTTTTGATTCTCTCTTTACTAATAAATAATGCTTCAGTTAGTTATCGAAATCTAAAACGTATCATTTTCGTCACCACTAAGGTATTTTTTCTACAATTTCAAATGGAATTATATACAATATCCTTTATTGTAAGTCAATAAACTAGTTTTTCTTTACAATCTGTATAGTAGATGTTTCATTTCAGTTTTACTAAGACTATACTCTTCATTTTCTATGAAATTTTATAAAAGTATTTGGATTCGAACTGTCAGAAAGAAGCTTGAGAAGGATATTGTAGATTTCAAGAAACTATTCATGGTATAATCGGTTTTTATATTCTCTTTGGATTTGCTAAACAGTTGTTTAGTAATATTTTTATATCCATCTGATTCTCAGCTATCATTTGACTCAATAACTATTGAGGTATTTTCGAAGTTCATTAATTACGTTTCATTATTAATAAACTTGTTATTTAGCTGTTTCAATATTGTCCTAGTTGTATACTGACTGAGGTTGATTACTTATTTGTTTATTGTGACCTTACATTTCATGTATCTAACTGAGTTTTTGAGTCTGGATAAAACACAGTAATATCAGGTATACGATATACTTGTAATTCTTTCTTTCGAAAATCAACTTCAAACTCACGCTTAAACTATGACAACACCTACGAAAGTGTGCAGTAAAGCTATATTACCATATTTCTATAGTTACTTTTAAAGCTTCATAAATTATATCATTTGAAATACCAACTAAGTTTTTGACACTCAGTCTTAATTGGTCTACTTGATTAAAAGTCGTCTTCTCTTTTCATAAAATAACAAATAGGAAAGAAAGGGAGAGGCAAGGAATCAGTGAAAATAAAATTGTAAAGAAGGGATATTCATTAATACTCTTATGAAAAATGAGTGTACACATTTATGATGGACATGTGATGTTTATACAAAACTGTCTTGATAAAATTGTCATTATATATATATATATATATATATATATATATATATATATATATATATATATATATATATATATATATATATATATATACGTACAGTAGGTTGGTGTCGTAGTGACAATCAGCTGTTTAGATTCTACAAATTGCTTATTTTAAATTTTACAATCACATGAATACACTTTTAGACATGCCTTAACAGTCTTCCCAATTTTTTTTACCTTCATCCTGCTGATATCTTGAATAGTTTATTCAATCATTGTATTTTGTTTATTTGGATAAATAGACAGTTGTTTTATAAGATGCGCTTCAATCTTCATATATACGCATATCTGTGTTTGTAGTGAAATGAGAGCGCATGTGTGTGTAATAGTGCCCAGAATTTAAACAAACTAATCAAACACTTGGAGATTAATTCAGAAATAAATAAAAATAAGTAAAAAAATTATAATCGAAGTAATAATTAGTAAAAAAATGGACGCTGAACAGGGCGCTAGAATATAATAGGATATGCGTGTGCATGCCAGTAAGGGGTGGTGGCGGTGAGAGGGTGATAGGAATCTTCTAAGAGTTTTACATTAGCAAAAATTTGGAAAAAAAGACAATAAAAACTAGGCGAAACATAGAAAAAAAATTAGAAAACAACACATTTCTAAATCCAAGTAAACTATTAAATTAGTTTTTATTCTTCTGTAATCATTGACACTACACCAGTAACAGTTAGAATATAAGATAAACAGTAGACTTAACTTGGATGTATGTTTGTGATCATTTAATTACGGCTGAACAACCATAGCAATTAAACATCAAATCATACTTAAGTGTATGTATGTATGCTTATAAAAACAAAAGATAGATTCATTTTGTTAATTTTTATGACAATGAATAGAAATTAAACAAGTTAGTGATGGTATAGCTTATAATTTGTTAGCTAGTTTTGCTTAATAAGATGACATATCATTTTAAGGGTGGTCAAGTAAATGATACTGCCTCTCTCTTTTGTTTAAACTAACTAACAAAATATTTATAGATATTTATATATAATTAATTCAGTTTTATTTGATTTTAAGCATTAATTATTTTAAATAAAGATGCTGTTATTTGTGTATCAATAATACCAATAACAAAAATAGCATGATTCTGATGTTTATGATTGAATATGGCTGATAAATGATGAGAGAGGTAGTTAGAAGAGTGAATAAACATTAACGGTAACAAATAAACGAACGTAAACCAACCGATGTTGAACGTGACTGCGTAAGCTGGAAGGAAAAAAGAAACAATGTAAATCATCATAGACAAAAAGCAGGAAATTAATTAAACAGATCACTAAATTATTGTTATTATTATTACCACTAATACTAAATCTACTACAAAAGCTACTGCTTCATGTTTACATTATAATCTAATCTCATTCGATGAACGCTGCAATTTTTACTTAAATAATAACAATCACTTCCAGAATCCCATATTGAAATATCACTTGAGGAAATCAGAAAAACGATCCAATTCGGTGAAGCTGATCTGTAAACTAGTTGCAACCTTGAGATCATGTGTAGCATCAACCTTCATTTGTTGAAGGTCAGTCATTAAGTATATCAATTTGGAAAAAAACTCTCGACCTTTTTGTCTTCATCAACTCAGTTCTCATCGTCCAAAACTTTTTTTATTTTGTTTCTTTTCCTAGTCCGTATACCTAATGTGTGTGAATGATTCTGAGTGTAACTTTTAGAGTACATTGTTCGTAACTTCTTGAGTTACTAGGGGTTAAACTGAACCAAAGTCACTACCACTCAAAACTTTTGATTTTTCTAGAACAGAACTTCTTTCGTTAACGAAAACGCTTGCATCATTTAAGAGACTGGTGATTACAATGGGCTTTAGTAAAGGAAAGAGGATAAAACTTATTGACAGAAAAGTGATTACGTATGTTTAGAAGATATATATATATATATATATATATATATATATATATATATATATAAGCATCTTGCATAAAGCAACATGTTTTTGTAAGCAATCGAAGATTGACAAGTACCCTTCTCATGTTACCGTTAATTGTTTGTATAAGTTGACGTGTATCTGCTAACGTAATTAAAGTGATATGGTGAAAGAAGGGTCTACCTAAGATTCTATAGACGAAGTCTGAGAATTTCTGCTTAAAATAAGTAAAAACGTCAACAGTGAGATTTCCAAACATTACTGAGACACAGGATATCAGGTAAATATCCTAAAGTCTTTCAGTGTTTGATGAAGAAACGATCCTTGATCTTCCAAAATTATCCTACGTTATTGCTATTAAACCCTTGAAACCTGATTTGTGAATTCGAAAACAGTTTTCAGTCTTTCTTTGTTCTTGTTACGTAACTCTTATTTTATTACATTATTTCTTACCAAAGGTCACTAATATGGCGATTGATAACTTCATCAACTGGAGTGCGATTGAAATATGAAATTGATTGTCGGTGATATAAGATAATTTTCTGAAAAGGAGTAATTGTTCGACTTAGTCAAATAGTTATATCTGTTAGTTACAGATGCTGAACTGTATGATATTGTTAATATGTTTACATAGTAATTTACTGACTCACTGCTGTTAAAGAATAATCAGTTCAAATGTATGAATTGGACTGTTAATCTGACAAAGTAAATGGTAAATAAAAGGTAGTTGTGGTATTTATATGAATTAATGATTCTTTTTTGCTTGACGACCTGCTTATTACGAATTCCAGATATAGTACATTCATTGGTGCTCATCCAGTTCTACTTTCTGTAAATTGCACTATTTTAGGAACTCCTAGTTAGTACAATATTTCGAATACTTCTGGTTAT